AGCACCAGAACCCTTTTGTGCAATTAGAGAGGAAGAAGGGGGGAGTGTAGTTTGCTGGCATGACATTTTTCTTTTCTCTTTTTTTTTTGTTTTGTTTTTTCGACCTCTTTTCCCCTCTTCTCGAGTGTCCGCCAAGGGGAACATAGTGGAAGTGTGATGGGATAAAAAGTGGCCCATGACTGTGGCCTAAAATAAGTTTAGGGGACCACGATATGGTTTTTTTTTTGTGGACCACTTCAAGAAAATAGTGGAAAATTGTAACGTGTGTGTGTGTGTGTGTGTGTGTGTGTGTGTGTGTACATAAAAAACAAGCAAACCAACAATACAGCAATGGTTGAGTGGGGGTGGGCAAACCTTGAGCATGAGGGCCAAGTTTTGAGTTTTTAAAGAGACAGATGGGTCAGGTCATTTGTAGACAAACTTTTAAACGACAAATAAATCAGTTAAAGGTTTGGGACAAGTAAAAACAATCTGCGAACATTTGTGCAACCTTTTACGAACGCTGATGAAAATCCCAAATTTGCCCCGTTCGCAAGCATTCGCCGCTCAGTGAGATACCAACTTAAATGCGATTTTCCGCCATCTTAGTGCCAAGCTTCAATCAGACAAAAGTGGTACTTTGGCACCATCTTCTGGCATCTCGGTGCCATGGAACTAATGCTCGGAACGACCGTATGAAGAAGTGTGTTGAGGAGCTTCATAATTAGCTTTGATAAATCTAATTCATATCATCTTTCGAGGGGACGTCAATTACAGGGCTCTTGATAATATGAATGCTTGGCAGGCCACATTACAGAATGCGCCATTGCCATCGGACTGGACTTTGCCCAACCCTGGTTTTGGCGGGCCGGTCTCTGACCTGCAGTATGTAGCCCCGCACGTAGTCCCGCAGGGTCCAGCCCAGGCCGTGCAGGATGTGCAGCACCTCCTCCTGCTTGAGCACGGAGAAGAGGCGGTCCAGGAGGATCTTGAGCCGTACCGGCACCGCCTGTGTGCCGTACAGCATCAGGCTGCTGATGTCGAACACCACATTGGACTGCACGATCTCCACCTGCGTCGGGTGGTACAGGTGCTGCGTGCTCAGCTTGTCCAGGGCTGTACATACACACACAAAGAAATAATAATAATAATAAATAAAAAATAACTGACTGAGTCATCAGGTTTTATCTCATCGAAAGTTCTCCACTGGCCGGGGGAGTCTTATTTACTGACCCGCAAATGGGGCGAGACCTTCATTTGTTCATTAGTGGAATATTTTTTTGTACAATATAGTCAGGTCAAGGCAAAAAGAAAAGAACTGAGCACCACTAACCAGCATTCCAAAAACATGCACATTTGGTTCATTAAAGACACTTAAGTGTCGCATTGGATACGTATCAGATTGATATCTACATTCAAAAGAGGCCAGACTGTGGGAAAAAAAAAAAATCGGAATTCTGGTATTCAGATGCATTGTTGCTGAAAATCGTAACTAACCTGCAGTATAACGGTGCTCTTGAAGTGACAGGTAACAAAAGAGTGAAACAAATAAATAAATCAATTCCAAATGCACACAGCAATGTAGTCGAAAGTAACTTTCACATCGTAAAGGCTGCAAAGAATGTTGTCCTCAAAATATTTCTACCTCCTCCCGTCTCACCCCTCGGTCATTCTTAACTGTGGCACCCATGTGTGACGTTTTTTTTTTTTAAACGTCACTTGGCGTCATGCTTTGTCCGCCTGTTCCGTTCACATTCGTGTCTGTAACGTGAACGAGTACATGCCAAGATTGAATTTAACAATAAAACTCCCAATTGGGTATCACGCCCGACAGTATCAATGTAGCCTTGGTATTCTTCCTCAACTTGACCCCATGAGCAGCAATCTTAAATTTCTTCAGTATATGCAACATCTAATGTGTACTCCACATTGATTTTCTTTGAAAAAAGTCCTTATCGCTCCATTATGTTGCGCTTGCCTTCGGGGGGGAAAAAAAAAGCACAACAAATTGCAACAAGGTTTCGGGTGCATGTAGCCTGACAAGCGTAAATCGGGGAAAACCAAAACCCTAAGCGAGTTTGCGACCTCAGTCAACTCTTCCTCCGGTCTATCCGTCCTCTCTCCTCTCCTTCCTGCTGTCTCCCCCTCGTCCCTCCTCTCACCCTTCCTTCCCCTAAAGAGGTCGTTGTGAGAGGGCCTGCCAATGCTGACATGAAATGAAAAGTTGAGGGAGGGCTCGAAGGGAGGGGGGTCCCGCCAGGGGGTGGGGGGGAAAACGGACGCCTGACACTTCAACGGGGAGAGGCTGGGAAATATTCGCCCAGGTCCTTATGTTGATTCACCCAGAGAGCCCCACGGCTCCGCTATGGTGAGCCAAACAGGTGTTTTCTTTTATCCGGCTTTCTTCCACGCCTTTTTCTCTTTGTACTTTTGGGTTCTTTGTTTTTTGTTTTTTTTTTTCTTTTATTACACCTGTGTGAAGTGCTAAAGTGTGGCTTTTGGGGATCATCCAATATGCGAAAACAAAGCTTACCAGAAGAGTGCAGGCGAACGTTTTTGTGACAATTGTGCGTTTTCATGTCCCTAATGTCACTTTTTTCTTTTTTGCCTCGCGGCAATTAAAGTTGCACGTTGGCCTTATACTTTTGTCATGAAAGTTAACGCTCGTTATTTATTTTTACACTTGCATGACAGTTGAGAGTTTTAAAATGCCATGAAATGTTGACTTTTCAACAAAGCTTACCAGAAGAGTGCAGGCGAACGTTTTGTGACAATTGTTCGTTTTCATGTCCCTAATGTCACATTTTTCTTTTTTGCCTCACGGCAATTAAAGTTGCAAGTTGGCCTGATACTTTTGTCATGAAAGTTAACGCTCGTTAATTAATTTTTACATTTGCATGACAGTTGAGAGTTTTAAATGCCATGAAATGTTGACCAACACTCACAAACAAGAAAAAGAAGGAGAGTTTTATTGATTTTTAGGCTTTTAAAAAATATATATATTATGAATGACTTCCTTTTACATTTGATTGACAGGACGAATTTTGCATGTTCGGCTTTTTCTTTGGCTTTTCTCAACAATTATTTAAAATGGAGAGGAATTAGTGAATTTGAATTAGCGGTCAGCTCAAAGGTTCCACCGTCAGCCAGTTTTGGAAGTCCATAACTGGTTTTTGCACAAAGTGAATAAAAATGAACTTACCGTGCGCTACCCAGCCATGTTTGCAGTGGTCGCATGTACGCAAGTGAATCTTGCCCGGCTGGAAGCACTCACACGTGCAGTTGACCAGCGTGCAGCGAATGGCCTGCAGGGGGCACAAACACATCCACATGATTACAAGAAACATTCATTTGAGGTTGATGTTGTCAGGATTGAAAGGTGTTCTCCACAAAAACAAAAAGAAACCCCACATGCAGCGTAGTACGCCGAAGTTCAATAACTCATGGGAGCGCTTTACTGCGCTGTTTGCTGTCATTTCTGCTTGCGTTCCGACATGTAGACAATCTCACGTTGACACCTACGGGGGCAATTTGAAGTCTTGAAGCTAACGTGCATGTTTTGTCATTAAAACCCCACAAATGCGAACTGTGACACAGTTGAGCTAAACACGACTTGGTGCTGTTCTGTGACAACAAATTTCCATGACAACAAATTTTTACTCAAATCAATACCGGAATATTTTAATAATTCTAATAAATCTAATTCTGTGAGGTGGTGGTGGTGGACCCCAAAAAGCAGGCAAGAGGGAGGAGCAGTGTGTACTTGACAAATTGTATGAAAACATAGCGAAAACTAAATCCTAAACAAAACAAAGTCCTGAAACCAAAAAGAATCCAAAGTAGCAACCAAAACCGTGACTGAAACAAAAACTATCACTAACCGAAACATGACTGGAACAAACACACAAACACAAACAATGACCCGACACTGAGTGGTCGTGCTGGGAGTCCTTTTAAAGCAATAATTAGATAACGACCAAACAGGTGTGCAGCTGCAGGGAGAGCCCTATAGTGCCACCTGTTGGTCACAAACAGAATCATGACAAATTCAAGCATACACAACTATAAATGATCAATTTACATGGCGATCGTTGAAATCCTAGCTTTATGCTAACTAGCGCGCCAAAACCGTGACTGAAACAAAAACTATCACTAACCGAAACATGACTGGAACAAACACACAAACACAAACAATGACCCGACACTGAGTGGTCGTGCTGGGAGTCCTTTTAAAGCAATAATTAGATAACGACCAAACAAGTGTGCAGCTGCAGGGAGAGCCCTATAGTGCCACCTGTTGGTCACAAACAGAATCATGACAAATTCAAGCATACACAACGATAAATGATCAATTAACATGGCGATCGTTGAAATCCTATCTTATGCTAACTAGCGCTAGGTCCTGACAAAGCTAGCACTTTGTGGTCAAACAGACATTTTTTTTTTAGATTTCTTGGGGACGAAGTTTCTGCTTCGGTTGTTCATTTGAGTATCTTACTGGATATTTATGGCCTTGAAATGTTTTTATACGCATATTTGCTGGAACTAAGCATTTACCATTTCTGGAGAAATTCCATGTAAATGCTGAATGGAAATACAGTCAAACCTTGGTTTTCGAACGTCTCTGTTATATCGGATTTCGACCTGATTTTTACACCTTGGATTACGACCGAAAACCGGTTTTCGACCAAACTGAGCAAACCCGAATACGCTTCCTTACACGAGGAAGTGACACTTCCACGTGTAACGTTCATTGTGAGCAGACGTGTTTGTTGTGACTCACGCAAATCTGACTGTTTTATTGTTATTTCTGCCTAGTGTATTAGCCCCTAATCATGGGCGAATAAAATAGTTTCGGATTTTGAACAAATCGCTTTTCGAACAGCCTTCTGGAACGGATTATGGTCGAAAACCGAGGTATGACTGTATATGGAAGCGTGTGGAATTTTGACGAATGATGTGGAATGATATTAAATGATGATAACGGCACATTCTGACTCACGAACAAATCTGTGTTACAGCCGTTCCCGCCATAGGAATGGAACGCTGCCGCAAACTGATCTGACAAGCTGCTACGTTTTGCAGTCCGCCTCTTTTCATCAGCAGAATCTCACCGGTCTGGTGAGTGGCTCACGCTTATCAGAATCTTTATGAATTTACGGTCGGCGGCCGTGAGAATCATGCAAGTCGCAGAATGGTGGCGGGTCATAGTCCAGCGTCTGCACAATCTGACCATCTGGGTTTCACAATGTCCCGGACTGGTCGATGAGAGGGGATCAGGAGGAGGACCGACCTTTAGGTTGCGCATATGTCATAGTTCAGCACTTTTATGCACGTTCTGCTTAGACAACATGAACAACTTGGAAGGATTGGACGGATATTGTCCAATGCTGGATGTAAAAACTACTACTTTCCACCATGTCGACACAGTTAAGCAGATGTGACCATTTTTAACATCTTCGGGTAAAGCGAGGGCCGCGTTGGCATTTCAATGTTTGCTGTCATTTATTTGCAATTGTCTCTTGCCAAGATGCTATCCTCTTATTCTTAAGTTGTGAACTTGATACATTGAGTTCAGTAGGAAAATGTTACGATGAATCAACTTGGAACGTGAAGGCATTGCCTCAAATATACGGTTGACGCAGTTAGCAAATTGCTGCCTTTTGCTAATTAGCGTCATGTGCGGCGGGCCTAACGGTAGCGGCGGCGGCAGCAGCAGCAGATGCAAACAAACAAATGGAAATATCAAGCGCACCGCCGCTGTTTACGAGCCGGCGTCTGACAGCTGACGAGATAGTTAAGGGGCATCTAATATGGCAATTAGAGCGTGGCATTATCTGCGGGGCTGCCGCTGTGACAAGGCGCCCCTCTCATCACGGACTTATTACGCCAGCTAGCAGCAAGCGCTCATATCTGGGCCATTAAGCAGACTGCGGCATTAAGACACATTAAAGCAGCGAGAGGCAGTAAGGGCAGAATAAAACATCGGGTGTAGGCGGGGGGGTGCGCTCTTGTTTTTTTTTTTTTTTCGATTGACTCCCACTTGGAGCTAGCGAGAGATGTGAAAGGCTTCGCGATTCAAGAATGACAGAGGAAGAAGTTGAAAGAATACAAATTGATTACAAGGCTCTTAATAAGGAAGCGAGCGTGCAGATGCGTCCAACCCGGCCATCAGAAACATCTGTGTTTGCTTTAACAGACGAAACAAGAGAGACAAAAAGAATAAACACGGCTCCCCCGCCCCCCCACATCCCACCCCCACACCCCTTGTACAAGTCTCCGTGCGACCGAATGGGTCTGTTTTGCGCTTGGCCCGCATTATAACCTGGCCCGGCTTTGGTCAGGGACGTGTACCTGGCCCGGATCCCACCACTCCCCTCGCACATATTTGTCACAGAAGGCTGGGGGGAAGGGGGCGGAGCTTGTGTTATCTGAGGCCAGGCCAGAAATGTGGCATTAGTCACAATGTTAGCGTCTCGCCAGGGTTTCCTCTTTGGCTCGCAGCAAGTAGACGAACATGGGATAAAGGACAGGACAGCAGAAGAGGGGGGGCTGTGTTTTTTATGACAAATGGTACGGCTCATATTCAGTGTTTTGTTTTTTTTTAGTTTGCATTGTCAAGCATGCCAAAATAACCAACCCATACTATACGACTTTGCAGCAAACTTTAGTTGGGGTACCGGTCACAGTCATGCAGGTTAGGTCAGGTGGGTTCTGTGGTTTCTTTGTGGGGGGTCATAAAATATTGAGTAATCTTTGGATGGCGTACGAGTCGCATTAGCACTAGCTACATTTCTTACGAGCTACGTTTTGATATACTACCACTTACAGTAGTCAGTTCACTTTGGTTTGAATTTTCGGAACCTCTTCTGTAAACGGGTCCTCAAATATTCAACCCAGGACGTATGACTTTTCAGAATTTTTATTTTTTTTTGTACTGTGGTCCCAGTAACAGTTTAGTTTGGTAATGCAATCTCTGCTTTTCAGCAATCCTTCATTGTATCGGTTCGGTAAACATTTTTTGGGCACTTCTGGAGTAAAGGGACAATTGCACAGTCCACTCCGCTTATTCATTTGTTGCTCAGCAAAGACTCAACTCTTCTAATCAGGAGCCGAAGTGAAACGACGCAAAAATGTTTGGGGTCTCGGCCGAGTGTCACGCAGCTGCCGATTAGCTGTCGCGGTCAACAACTTGACTCAGTCTGCATCATTCTCAGCCCTTATCTGACTCAAGTGTGTGTCTCATTGCGGGCTAGTGTTTAGCTGCAGGCTTGATGTTTCATGGCTGTTTTGCTTGGCCAGCAGCGCCTGTCCCGGCCAACTTGTAAACACTCATGACCGGCGACGGCCCGGACTCACCGTGACGAACGTTAGCACGACAGATGGGTGGAAGCATCGTAGCATTCGAACAAGATGGTTCCAGGCTGGACTCTTGGCTCGGGTGCGCCTTGTAAACAGACCCCGTGGCCCCGGACCAACGGCGACACATGCAACTGAGCTGGAGCGGGAATCAGACGTCAGCGAAGACACAATGAGACCACAGAAGCAATGGTGATCTTTGACTAATAGCATCCTGTTCAGCTGCACTACCGCGCTGTCGTTTTGAATGTCGTAAATGCACGCCAGTGGGCTTTTGTTTTCTCTCTCCCAGCATCTCTGCACGATGCAAAGCCTGCGCAGATGGTCTCGCACTGTTCCTTCCAACTTTAATCGAATCCCTTTACCCGTGTTCGACACGTCGCCACAGACCGCAGTTCTTGTCGGGCGAGTTAAGCAAAGCCGGGCTCGTAAATGAAAACCCCCTGTGCGTAGCATGTGTGCGCCTCGTGTTTTGCCCATTTGGGATCAGTCGGCGCTCAGGCGGGTTGTACAACACCGGGAGCATCTTGTCCTCTCGTCTTCCCCCAGCCGCGAGGTATTATCTCATCGGCGAGCTTTAGCTGCTGAAAACGTTGCCAATTTCCTGACAGAAATGTGCAGCCAATGTGTGCCGGGGAATAGAGGCGCGGCGGCGTTGCGTGTCATAAAGATGGGCCCCGGCCTCGGAATTGAGACGTCAGGACCGCACAGTGTCCATATTGGAACCAGGTGACAAATAACACAAGACGAATAAAGAAAGGCTTTGTAGTTGAGTGTAGTCATAATGTACGAGGAAGCACAGAACCTATGCTAACGCTAATTACTGGTTCGTTTTTATTTCTGCTTATTGATGAGGTTTGCTTCGACACACTGACTTTTTTTTTTTGGTGATGCCATCAAAGAAGAGCGTCTGTGATGTCAGAGAGGGGAAGTGAAACAATAACCATGGAGAAGGAAATGGAACTCAGGCGGCATAACAGAGCAACTGCTTGCTCGGTACAATATGAGCAATAGTGTGAATTGAATACCAAGTACATATGCTAGCATAACTGCTAACTAGCGTCCATCTACTGTCTGGGGTTTTGAATGGAGGAGTTTCACGTGAGTTTGGTTTTAATGTGGTGAGCTAAATCTCGACAATGTTTTAATCGATTAAGATGTTTAACTCGTACTTTAAAACGTTGCCTGGAGAGTAAAACACTTAAAAACGACTTTTTTGAACACCTGTCAGTTTTACAACAGGCGGCAGTTGGAGTCTAGAACAGATCAATTCACAAAGTTACTTAAAAAGTAAACAACAGCCAGCGTCACATTTTATATTTTCGAGACGTTCATTTTCACTGATCCTAATTAGGATTGTTTGGCCATTGGTGGAGTTCGGTGTGCCGCTTTCATTCAGACCTGACTTTAAAAAGCAAAGCGATGCAAAGCGAACAAATACAGATGAAACTCGGAGATGGTTTTCTGAAGCAAAATGAAAGTGGTGGACTGACGGCAGGCAGGGGGGGCTGACTTAAAAAAAAAAAAAAAAAACAGCTTGTGCTTGTCCATTCAATCTCCACCGTGCAAAAAAAAAGGCCTGTCGCCCTTGTCAGTTCTGCTTTGGAGCCCCAGCGGCTGCCAGTCGCTGAGGCAGAGGTCCCTGTCCTCTGTGCAGCTGTGCATCTGGGCTCTGACACGGGCCACGGCGGGCCAGAGCTATGCTAATGGCAACCAAATGGGCCGTGAGTCCCCGGTGGATTGGCAGGGAGATGCATGTGTTTTCGTGTATTTCTGTGCTCTCCTTCCGTCTTCCTTCCTTCACTTCAAGGCCCATACATGGAAGCAACCCGGTCTGCTCCCTACACTCCTCACTAATGATCTCCGACAAACTATGAGTCATGTGTCACTAATATTTAGCTGTATTACAATAAAAAATTGTGACTAAAGTGGGGTGTACGCATTCCGGTAATCAGGCCTAATTTGAGCAATTTTCCCCTCTTCTGGTCGAGGTTGGCAAAGAGCTGATAAGCGGATGAAAGATGAATCCCAAACGATTATGTGATGTAGGGTGACTTTTCCTTCCCGATCTCAGTGGTAAACCTGTTCATTGTTTATGCTCAACCCCTGCCCCCCCCCCAAAAAAAAAGACTTCACACTTGCACTATCGCCCCACAAAAATTTTTGAGTGTTTGTGTAATGAAAAAAAAAAATCACTGAGTGTAAAGACCAGTTAACGATTGCACGAACAGCGACGGAAAGTAGAAATGATGAAGCCACAGATTTGTTTTTGTTTCAAATGTATGGGAAGACGGGAAAAAAAAAGAATCTCATATTAAGCCTTTCAGGGACGGTGGTCACTACAGTGGACAGCTTATCATGTTATCAGGTGACAGGGTGCAGGAAAGGGTTAAATCGCAATTGCAATATTGAGGGGGGGGGGGTGCAATTAAATCATTTTTCAAAATCATGGCGGCCGACCATAACACCCCTCCCTCCTCACCGCTCCCGTGGATTGATTTGCATCGGTATTGGCATTGACCCCGACTGCAAAGTATCTCTTCACAAACAAAACCGGATTATCACGGTCATCAGCCATATTGCTTGTTTACATTTACCCGGAACACTTTTAGCAAGCTCCGGCTGGGATGTTTCCAACTCCGCGGCGTTCTTAAATCAAGCACGAGACATATTTGCCGTGAGCGGCGCAGAGCAGAAGTCAACTGATGAAGCGCCGGCCATGGTGAGAGACAGTGGCAGGGGAGAGCTGAAGAAATTATGAG